AAAAAGCAGTCTTTTAAATCCACCACTGTAATAGACCATTCCTTAAGTAATAAAGAAGACAAGGGAATTTGAGGCTGTAAAGAGCCCATTGACTGAATCACCTTATTTATGGTTCTGTTAATATTCTCCATTTTCCATATTTCTTTTTAATGACAAATATAGGAAAATTTCAAGGACTGGTCAATTCTTCAATGTGTTGAGCATTTAGATGCTCCTGTACCAGCTGTCCTAATGCCTGTAATTTTTCTGATGTCAAAGGCCATTGTTCCACCCACACAGGTTTGTCAGTTAACCATTTTAAAAGTAGGGCGGTTGGTATCTTTAAAAGACCAACAACTGTTGTCCTCTGCTTATGAACAACCTGAACAGTCTGTGACTGCTCTTGATAATACCTTCTGGTATTTTTCTCATGAGCATTCCTTACTTTATGGTTTGTTTCTGAGACTGGAGGAATGTTAATCTGTATTTTCCATTGCTGCAACAAATCACATCCCCATAAATTCATGACTATATTAGCCACATATGGCTTTAATTTTCCTGTTTATCCTTCTGACCCTATATACTTGACCTCTCTTGCACTATGTTTTACCTGACATGAAGTTCTAATAGGTAGAAGTTGACCATTGCCTCTTGAAGAGGCCAATCTGAATACCAAGATTTTGGTGAAATTATTGTTATATCTGCTCCTGTGTCTATTAGACCTTCAATTTCAATGCTGTTTATTTGTATTTTTAGCTTTGGTCTCTCATCATTTATAGCAGTTTGCCAAAATAATTGTTTTCTGGTCTCTCCTGAATATTTTGTTTTATCTACTGAAGCCGTTCTGTCCTTGATTACATCCAGAGCACTGTTGTTTTTAACAACAGGCATTAATCTTTTAATTGCTCTGTGGATGACTTTCTCCAAGTCTGACAGGGAATGAGTGAATAAAATTTGATATCTGGGCCTTATGTTAGGCCATTTCCCGAAGGCAAAGGGTTACCTTGACTGTCCCTTGTTGATCTGCATTCACTAGTCCAATGCTGGCCTTTGCCATACCTTCTGTAAAAAAAAAAAAAAACAAAACAAAACAAAACAAAAAAAACTTTGTTTCTAGGAACACCTTTCCCACAATCCCTTTTCAGAAGACCCTGCTTACCACAATTAAAACATCTGACATTTTGATTTTTATTAAAACTTTTAGAAATTACTTCACTTATCAGAGTAGAATCATAAACATGAGATCCAGTATCAGCGGTATTTCTAGTCCATTCATCTGTTGGTGCTGATCTTGCCTTTAAAGGCCTAATCACCCTTTTACATTCTGAATTAGAATTTTCTTTTTTTATAATTTATTTATTTTTATTTTATTTGCATTGGTGCTTTTGCCTGCATGCATGTCTATGTGAAGGTGTTAGATCTTGGAGACAGACAGTTGTCAGCTGCCATGTGGGTGCTGGGAATTGAACCCGTGTCCTCTGGAAGAGCAGTCAGTGCTCTTAACTGCTGAGCCATCTCTCCAGCCCCCCTGAATTAGAATTTTCAAAAGCCAAAGATTTGGTTAATATTTGTTTTCTGAATCTGATACTATTGTATTTACAGCTGAAGTCAGTCTTTGCAAAAAAAATCAGTGAAGGTTTCTTTCGGGCCTTGTATAATTTCAATAAATGACTTAGACCTCTTTTCTGATTCTTCAACCTTGTCCCAAGCATTTAAAGCTGCTAAATGACATAGCACCAAGATATGATCATCAAATTCAAGCTGCCTTTGTAACTCAGCACATTGGCTTTTATCTAGCGACTGACCTTGAGAAATATTAATACCTCTGGCCTTATTTTCATTGTTCTATGGCCCTAGCTTCATCTTTTTACCATGTTTGCCATTGTAACTGAAGACTAGCTTTCAATATTGCTGTTGCCAAACCTTTTCAGTCTTGAGGGATAATTATGTTCTTAGTTGCCCATGAATTTAATACCTACTTCACATATGCATACATATCATATGAAACAACCGATTCCTTAAATCTCAAATCTAATTTTGCTATAGATTCCATTTAACTTCCTGATGTCTTATTGTCTTCTGGTAGTTCTTGTACAGTAACTGGATAAGCTAAAGTTGGTTTTCTAACAACCTTGGGCCATCCCCTTTAGTTTCATCATGGAGTGGTGGAGTAGGTTCTTGTCTAAAATCTTCTGTCTGTGTCTGAATATTTTTCTTATATTTGTTTATAAGTCTTTTAAGACTTGTATCTTATCAATCCACTTTTTATATTTGGTACAAAGAAACACTGTGGCTATTAAGGATAAAATATGAATTACCAGACTGATAGTAATTGTAATTGATATTATGTCAATCTCAGTTAAATCATTTATCTTTTTTTCTGCTTCTATTTTCAAGCCATCTAAAGTAGCATTGTACAGGGTCCTAACCCTATATTATGATGTTTCCCATCCTTAATATGAGAAAGATTTTTCCTTTTAATATTACTTAGCTGTCTCCTTGGGGACTTATTGGGTGTCTTACCAAATCTGGTGGCTTCTCAGTTGGTCTGAAGCTGGCATGATTTCCCTGTCTGTGTGGTCATGCCACACATTGTGGCACCAAATGTTTTTAACAAAATCTCAGTTGTTCAATTTTACCAATAAAGACTCTGGAGACAGATGCTGGGGTGAAAACCTGCTAGCTCAGAGGCAGAGAAAGCACCCAGCTGACTTTCCTTCTCTGATGACCACCCAGAAGCTCTCCTTCTATGCCATGTCCAACCAACTTCCTCAAACTGGATGTCCCTCCCTTCTACTTCTTGTGGGTCTCTCTGTCTGTCCTCCTGACTCTCTCTTACTCTATGTTTTTTTAAATAATCCTATGTTGACTTCCAATCATCTTGGTTGCTCCACCTCTTGACCTATGGTTGACTTTAAGCTCTTAGACTGAAGGTGTTTACTAGGGCTGAGCCACACCACGACTAGAAACAGGTTGTTCCAGTAAATGATGCAATCTCGGGGTTCACAGTGTGATCAAATATCCTGCAACATTAGTCCCCTTGTCCTTTACCAGATCCTGGAGCATTTGCCTTCGGTATCACTACACATCACCATAGTGGCTGGATTACTGAGGTGGGGTGGTGGGTAGTCATTCTGGGACTAGATGTCTGGGTTCTTGCATCTCAGGATGTTATTGAGGTATGTGTGATAGATCATCTTAGTTGACTGTATAGGTGATCAGCACAGAAAATAGTTGGAAGTAGGATCTCCTTCCCCATACCTGGGTTGCTCATAGGGAGAATGTTTCGAGCCCAAGATAGCAATGCTGTTTTCCATGGTTACCAGTGTTGTTCAGAACCTATAAGGAAGAAGGCTCACCTGTGATGTTCAGAGCTCACCTGCCCAGGAGGGAGACTGGCCCACCTGTGCTGCAGACCTAGTTGGTGCTTAGCAGAGCTCCTCTGTAGTACAGCCAAACAAATGAGGAAGAGAGTTGAATCATATGAATAACATTTCACTTGGGAATATGAGTTGCATAGTAGGATTGCCAGGAGAGGTTCCAGGTCTCCTGAGACTTACATAGGACTTCTGGTCCATGCTGTGGGGGAAGCTGTAGCTAGGCCACTGCTTCCTGTGCTGTGCTGCCCTGTCCCAGGAGTGGTATCCACTAAGGCCTTGATTCCCTCTCCTACCCCTCCCTGCTTAGAGGCCAGGCACATAGTCCTGCCTGTGTCTTTGGCCCCTTGGCAGGAAGAGATAAAGATGGCTAATTTTCTTCAGGTTTAGGTGGGTTGACCTCTAGCTGGCTACATATAGAGTCTCCTGAGTGAAACTAGACGCTTCCTGCAGCTGTAGGGCCTCACTTCAGTAATCCTACTAGTGGACCTCTACTTCAAGGAGCATTGGCTTCTCAGCCACATCTTGGTTATCACAACTGACTGGGGTCAAGGTTAGAATCTGGTATGGAGTCCTGGGATGTAACACTTCCCTAGTTCTAGGCAGCTCCCAAGCAGAATGACTTGCTCAGATGTTAACAATGAATGCCTGATAAGTGGGGTCCCAAGGTATCTGTAGGGACTTCTCCCCACAGACAGGAGGACCAGTGGTAGGTGTGTGGCAGACAGTGGCTGTGTAGACTAAGGGCTTTATAGGAAAACATTTGCTGAGTCTCGAGGTGTTCTGACCTAGGGGCCTTTGCTTCTGAGGGAAGTAATGACACACTTGTCCCTTGCTATCATATACATCAACATCCATGATTCAGGAAAGAGCATGTGATTTTGAGAGCTGGCCCACAAAGAGGCATGGTACCCAAAGGATGTGGAGCAGGGACTGCAGACACCAAGCAGAGAGGACGGGGTAGATGGTAGAGGTAAGAACTACAACTTGCCTAGCTGCCTTCCAGGAGGTACTTGAAGTGGGGACCAGGATGGAGGGGTGCTAACTTCTTACAATGTGAGCATGTGTATTTGTGTGCTGTGTGTTGAATAGGGGTGGAGATGGGTTTGAATGTGGTGTGTATGCATGTGTATGCATACATGTGCATGTGTATTTATGGAGTATGTGTTGAGTGAAGCAGGGGGATGTGCTTGTGTTGTTAAATATGTATGAAGTGTGTGTCCACTAAGGGAGGCCTAGACCTCTCTTCTGGAAGGTAGAGAAATTGGGGGTGTTGCGTAGAGGATGCTATAAGAGGTAATCGGGCAGAGAAGAGGCAAGCCAGCTAGTGGCACTGTGCTGGAGAAGCAGGTGAGCATGCTGAGGACACAAGGAGGGCATCCCTGGGTCTGAGGAAGCTTGTAGTACATACAGATAGAGGGAGAGGAGCCTAGAGAGCTGTTCAGGCAGCTTTACCCAGTGAGGAGAGCTGACACACCAGTGCATATTTATATGTCTAGCTGAGGACACAGCTGATGAGCTCTGAGCACAGTGCCCTGCTGTTCTCCTGTTGGATTCCTCTTTTCACCCTGCTGAGGCATACATGCTGGAGCCTGGTCAGGGGTGATTTACCGAACATTGTGTATTTGTTTACTCTCTGGACAGATGACAAGACGTTCCAATGTGAGATGTGTTTCAGATTCTTCTCCACCAACAGCAACCTCTCCAAGCACAAGAAGAAACATGGGGACAAGAAATTTGCCTGTGAGGTCTGCAGTAAGATGTTCTACCGCAAGGATGTCATGCTGGACCACCAGAGGCGGCACCTGGATGGTGAGCCTGGGGTCTGGAATGCCTTCCTTCTGACCTGGTGACCCTCTTCTTAATCCTGGTGTTCTAGGATGGTGTTAGCAGTGCCATGAACAGAGGGAAGTGCTTGGAACAGTGGGGAATAAATAAACACAGCTAGACTGCTCTGAGTGTTGGCTGTTAGGCAGTTATATGAAAATATTTCTTTTTTCTTTCTTTCTGTTTTTTCTTCTTTTCTTTTTCTTTCTTTTTTTTTTTTTTTTTGGTTTTTCGAGACAGGGTTTCTCTGTGTAGTTGAAAGTATTTTTTTAGAGAACTTTTTAATACTATGAAGAATGATTTTAGTGTGATGGAATGTAGGAAAGGCCAATATGGTGTCATGTATACAGCAGGCTCAGCCATGTAAATGGAGTGGTATATGCTGGTGGGAAGTGTGGTTGGGAACCATCAGTTTACACAGTATGTGAGGTCAGAAAAAGACCCATTAGAGTCAGCTCTCCACACGTGTGGCAGCCGTAAGGGTAGAATTAGAATGGAACAGAGGTTAAAGTCAGCATTCTGATTAAGGCTATCCTTATTTTCCCCACTAAGAGTCACAACCCCTTTGTCAGTAACACTCACTGACATAAACACTCTTTGGTAGTGTTTGAAAACACCATTTACAGAATGAATTCAGGCTGTGTGGAAAGCATAACTGCCAGATACATGCGCATGAGTTTATGAAAACAAGATCAGGTCACATCCCTTGTAAGTTCCCACACTTTGTTTTCCCCCTGCCCTTTGGTTCCCTGTCAGTTCGTAAAGACCTACAGCATGGTCCCATGAGATCCTTAGGAGTGTACTCTGGGCCCCACCCAGCCTCTGAGAACCATGGGCAAATCACTGAACCTTAGTTCTCCTGTTTGTAATAGTGGTGGTAATAATTGTTCCTCTTGAGGTCAGTGTCATAGTTGAACCTGACCTTGCCATTGGGTTCCTTCAGGCCCAACATAGATCAGTTGCTCAGAACCAAGGATGCTCTGGGCCCTGCAGGAAGCCACTGCTTTCTGTGATGAACCTGGGTGGACTAGGTACACCACTCACATATTTCATTTGTTTGTTTGGTTGGTTGGTTAGATGGAGTTGTTTAGTTTTAGGGGTTTTTTTGTTGTTGTTGTTTTGGTTTTTTGGTTTTCGTTTTTTTCAAGATAGGGTTTCTCTGTGTAACAGCTCTGGCTGTCCTGAAATTCACCTTGTAGACCAGGCTCAGGGTTAGACCGGCACTGCCTGGCCAGATGAGTCTTGCTGTGTTGCTCATGAGCTCAAGCAACCCCCTATCAGCCTCTTGTATATCTGGTTCCACAATACTTTCAGCATAGTTCCCAGTCAGTTCTGGGATCTGACCTGTACTGTGTGGCCTCACACTGACTATCTGGTCTGGGATTTCAGGTGTGCGGCGAGTGAAGAGAGAAGACTTGGAGGCCAGTGGGGAAAGCCTGGTTCGTTACAAGAAAGAACCTTCTGGATGCCCAGTATGTGGCAAGGTAATGTTCTGCAGTTAGTGTTGATGTTGGATGGCAGGTCCCCACTCTCTAAGCTCAAGCTCAGAGCTGCAAACAAGGAACTTGTAGACATGCCCAGCCCACAGCCTACAGTCCCCTGGCACCCCCAGATAGCTGTGAATGCAGCCCAATACAAAATCATACATTAAGGGATAACACATGTCCTAGTTAGGTTTCTGTTGCTGTAGTAAACTGTGACCAAAAGCAACTTGAAGGGGAAAGAGTTGCTTAGAGTCCGTCATGAAGGGAGGGCAGGGCAGGAACTCAGTCAGAACTGGAGACAGGAGCTGAAGCGGAGGCCATAAATATGGACTGCTTACTGGCTTACTTCCATGTCTTGCTCGGCTTGCTTTATTATAGCACCCAGGACCACCACAGTGAGCTTTCATCAGTAATTATCAAGAAAATGCCCCCACAGTCTTGCCTACAGGTCAGTCTGATGGAGGTATTTCTCAACTGATATTCCCTTCTCAGAGATGACTCTAACTTATGTCAAATTGACCAGAGAGCTAACCAGCACAAGGAGGTTTGTTTTTGGCTTTCAGTTGTACTGTGCAGTTCTTAAGTGTGAAGTCTGTAAACAATAACCATGTTTCAGTGTCAAAAGGTTAGACACACCTGCTAGGGCAACAGTGTTCAGGGACTACCAGTGTTCATCAATTGTTTTTAACCGAAGGTTACACATTTGGAGTTATGGTCTCTGCAACCTGGGATGGGTTTCCAATAAATCTATGGAGAATTTTTTTTTGTCCCTTCCACTCTATGGAACATGTTGTCCTCATGAGTGTCTGGACCTTGTCCTCATATTCACATTTGAAGGGGCAAGATACCCTGGGGCTTTAGGCTGTCCATGCCAGCCACCCCTGGTCAGTGACCAGGTAGTATTTTCTAAGTTAGGAGTAGCCTACCCCATGGTGATCAAGGTTAGGTTCTTGCCTGGACAGCCTGTGCTGTTGTACCAGTGTCCCCACATGATCTACCCTGGCCGTGGCCATGCCTGTGGTGTAGGCATCTGGGGCTCCCAGCCCCTGTCCAGGCTGCCACATACACATTGTCCCATTCTTCACACATGAACACCACTTCTTAACTGGAAATGTCATTGCTTGTTCATTAGACTCAACTCTGACAATTCAAGTAATTGGAAGTACTAGCTGTTCCCCAGAGGACCAGAAGTCACATCCCTTACTGCACAGAGCACATGCTGAGGATGCAGGTTCTAGAAAGGGTTCTCTATGCAAGTGTACACTAGGTATACAGATTCTTGAGAGGCTTCTGTGCGTGTGACCCAAGCAGCCTCTGGTGTTGCTTAGAGGAGGGGCTACTGCTGAGCCTATCACAGCTACACACGGGAGCTACTGGCACAGAGTAGCATTGGCACCAGGGCACCACCACACTGGGGAACTCAGCCCCACATGGCTGTCTACTCCTGATTGTGAACGTGTGGCAGCACTGCCAGATCCAGCAGTGCTTTCAGAAGGAAGTGAGAAGCTCTACTTCCATGATGTTTCTTGGTTTCTTTGAACCCACAGAGCAAGCCAAAGCCTGTAGATCAGGAGAGCAGTGAATCCATGTGGGGCCTTTGACCTTAAACTGTGGATTTGGGGCCAGATAGTGCAGGGACAAGGAGGTGGAGCCCATGGCAATAGACAAGTAGGTCCCAGGGCACCTCATCTGAGGAAAGTCCTGCTATTGGATGCTCTGTGATCAGTGGGGCTCCTGGGACGCTGGTGATGGTTGCATATCTGCCTTGTAGACCCCATGTTACCAGCCCCAGCTCAGGGGAGGACTGGTGTGGATGCTTGAGTGAATCCTCATCCATCACTCTAGGCTGGAAATAGAAAACAACATGAAACAGTACTCAATCTGGGTTGAGTGTCTTTTTTGGTATCTGCTTTAAGAAACTTGCAGGTATATCTGCGTGGCTCCCCAGCAGGCTCTGTGCCACTGAGCTGTTGAACTCAGGTTAAGCACTCTGCTGTGCTCGAATTGCAGCAGAGACTGGAAACAGAGTCCTGTCTTGTAGTTTGAATGTGTGTCTAAATCACCATAAGTTTAGACAGGTGGTGGTGGAGCACGCCTTTAATCCCAGCACTTGGGAGGCGGAGACAGGTGGGTATCTTGAGTTCAAGGCTAGCCTGGTCTACAGAACAAGTTCCAGGACACCCAGAATGGTTACACAGAGAAATCCAGTCTCAAAAGGAAGGAAGGAAGGAAGCAAGGAAGCAAGGAAGGAAGGAAGGAAAGAGAAATCACCATAAGTCTAGAAGAACTTGCTAGATGTCCTAGGCCTGGGGGCCACAGGGATTGGCTCCTGTGTATGTCCAATAGCCTAGCCCTCGCTGCACTGGTTCCCTGTCCTCAGGTGTTCTCTTGCCGGAGCAACATGAACAAGCATCTGCTGACCCACGGTGACAAGAAGTACACCTGCGAGATCTGCGGGCGCAAGTTCTTCCGAGTGGACGTGCTCAGGGACCATATCCACGTCCACTTCAAGGTACAGGTCTCCCACAGGTGACACTCAGTGACCTGGCCCACCCAGTGTCTGTGTTAGTTTATATGCTCTGACAAAACACACAGATGAGGCATTCACCAACAACAGACTATATTTCACAGTTCTGGAGCTGGAAGGTAAGATGAAGGTGCTGGAGTGTTCATTGTCTGCTGAGCGCTTCCTCACTCATATATCACCTTCGTGCTGTGCTCTCACATGGTGGAAGGATGAGAATGTTCCTGGGGTCTGCTTTTAGAGGCTCTAATCCTACTCACGGCGCCCACTGTCAGACCTCTCATTTCCCGAAGGGCTTACTCCCTCACACTGTTACCGTAGGTGAAGTTTTGGCATTCACATTGCTGCCCCGGCCTTCCGTAGTTGTCGTCATGGTACTGGCAGGCTCTTTATACAGACTTGCACTGTCACACCTGTTTGTCCAGCTGTAGGGCCCAAATAGAATCTCCCAGTGCGGGGCCTGACAGATTACTCTTTTCTGGGCCTTTCCCAGGAGAATAGGTGTAAGGAGGGTGGCACTCTGCTTGCTGCCTTCCTGCCTTTAGGGAAAAGAAGAGCTGTGCAGGAGCCCAGGGCAGAGAAAACTGGGTGTGAGGACAGATGGAAGAAGCACCTGAGTCAAAGGCCCAGTCCGGAGCACTGCTGCAGCAGCCTGGGATGTCCTCCAGGACTCTCCTGGGCATAGGTGGGATTTTGCTAGGCAGGTAGCATAATGACCCTGAGAGCTGGTAAGTGCTAGGATGGCAAGCCCAGTGCCATCCAAAGGGACATAGATATAGCTCACTAGGCAAGCAACTGATTCCCTGAAAGTACTGACCAGAGCTCCAGCGTACTGCATTAAAGGCTGGGTTTGTGGTTGTTCTGCAGGACATCGCACTAATGGATGACCACCAGCGGGAAGAGTTCATCGGCAAGATTGGGATCTCCTCAGAGGAGAACGATGACAACTCTGATGAGAGTGCAGACTCCGAGCCTCACAAATACAGCTGCAAGAGGTGCCAGGTACTCAGCACCCCACCTGTAAGCACAGCGGCACGGTAGGGGATTGGGACCATGGAGCTGTGGGGAACCTACAGCACTGTTTTGTCCATTTCCTCCACTAAAGAAGGTTGTCCCATATCACTTGAGCTTAGGGATATTTACTGTGGGATCTCACACCCATCAGAACCCGCTTGTGGCTTGGTGTGCACATAAGCAGACTGCTGACTAGGGTGGGGCTCGTGTCCTGGGAACTGGCCTAAGTAGCCTCACTAGCCTCAGACTGGTATGCCTTGCCCCGTCCAGCCTGCAGCTGGTCCATGCTTCACAAGGCAGGGTGCATGCTTTCAGGAAGGACAATTGATTTCTAAGCAGCTCATGACCTGAGTTTCCAGAAGCCTATCCTGTAAGTGGCAAGCTTCTGTACCATAGTCATCGCCCCCCCACCCCATGTATAACTGACCATCCCAATTGTGTCTGGCTGATTCAAGTGTAACAGAGTTGCCCAGAGATGGCAGTGAGTCAGCAGCCTCCACCCTGTGTGCTTATAGCTCACCTTTGGCCGTGGGAAGGAATACCTGAAGCACATCATGGAGGTGCACAAGGAGAAGGGTCATGGCTGCAGCATCTGCCACCGGCGCTTTGCACTCAAGGCCACCTACCATGCCCACATGGTCATCCACCGAGAGAACCTGCCTGATCCCAACGTGCAGAAGTAAGACTCCAAGGCTGTAAGGAAGAGAGGGACTCTGCAAAGCCATAGTGTTAGCCTAGCAAGTCACAATCACTGAGTCATCATATGCCAGATATTGGGGCACCAGCCTCCTAGGCCCCATTTTTCACCCTAATTTTTTGCCTTACATGATTCTAAAGTATGTTGGCATACTTGACAAGCCAGCACAGCCTTTCCGTTGTAGCTAGGTTTTGTTAGTGCTGCCCCATATCAAAGGTCAGCCCATGACTAACAGGATGACTGGATTCGTCTCCCAGAGCTGCCATGACCAAGTACCTCACACTTCAGAGTCCTGGAGCCTGGGGTCCCATATCCAGTATCTTGTCTTGGGGTTGGTTCCTCCTAAACTCTCCTTGACTAACAATGGCATCTTCTGTGCCCTCATAGGCTCAGCCTTCAGTACATGACTCTTATCTCTTATCTGGGGTCACCATGATGACCCCATTTTACCTCAATCTGCTCTGTAAATGCCTGTCTCCATATATAGTCACATTCTGGGTTAGGACTGCAACAACAATGTGAGGGACAGAGTTCAGCCCATTACAGAAAAGCTGAGACACATAGCATCTTCTTGCCTCACCTCCATGAACAGTAGAACTTTCACACATGCCCTTCACAGCTGAGCAGACCCTCAGAGCAGACAAAGGCTTCACAGTGGATGAGCCCCTCAGGTGATGAGTCCCCTGGGGGCGCTCCTGAGGTTTGTCTCTACTTTCAGGTACATTCATCCCTGTGAGATCTGTGGGCGGATCTTCAACAGCATCGGGAACTTGGAACGCCACAAACTCATCCACACAGGTAACGTGCTCCTGCAGTGACGTATGGTGCCAACTCACCTGCCCAGCAACAGGATTCCTACATCCCTCTCCCTGGCTCCTCACACTGCAGCCCCATTTCTCCAGCTTTCACCCTGGCCTCCCCTGACACTTGCAGCACATCCCTTCCCATCCACCTGTGTCCACTCCAGGTTCTCAGGGCCTTCTCATGCCAAAGATTCCCATGAAGCATGTTGAAAAGGTAGCTCACAGTGTCACTGAGCTGAGACCGCTTTCTGAGATGTCTTGTGGGCTAAGGCTTTCAGGCACTGTAGCTGAAGTTTTCTCCAGTCCTGCCCAGCCCCAGTGCTGTGTATATCACTCTGTATAAATAAAATGCTGATTGGCCAGTAGCCAGGCAGGAAGTATAGGCAGGACAAGCAGAGAAGAGAATTCTGGGAACAGGAAGGCTGAGTCAGGAGACGCTGTCAGCCGCCACCATGAATACCAACATGTAAGATACTGGTAAGCCACAAGCCATGTGGCAAGGTGTAGATTTATAGAAATGGAAGAGTCTGTGTGTTTATTTTATAAGTGGGCTGCGGGACTGCCGGGGCTTGGTGGGAGCTGGAGAGAAGCTCTCCAGCTACAAGGCGCTGCTGTGTTTGTTTACAGGTGTGAAAAGCCATGCCTGTGAGCAGTGTGGGAAGTCCTTTGCCAGGAAAGACATGCTGAAAGAGCACATGCGTGTGCATGACAACATCCGAGAGTACCTGTGTGCCGAGTGTGGGAAAGGTGTGTGCCTGGAGCCCCAGGAGGTCTCTCTGGAGCCATGGGACATCCCAGGGCACTAGAGCATGTTCAGTCATCATCTAGCTTGCTTATGATCACTAAAATTGTAGACCTGAACCTAGACATAGTCGGTGCCCATGACAGTGGGTAGCTGCTAGGAACCATGGTTCTTCTTGACAAAGGGTCCCAGGCACAGGAAACCATCTTCCTCAAAATCACATCATGAATCACAAAATTATCCATAAAGACACCTCTGTAGCCTACAGGAAAAGCTGGATGTTTCAAGTTCTGTTGTGTAAGACAGCATCCATGTAGCCCAGGCTAGCCTCCTGCTCGATGTGTAACCAAGGATGGCCTTGCATACAACCTCTCTCACCAAGCCCCTTCCTGCCTAGTTCTGCCTGTCTCTCCCTTCTCTTTCCACATACTATGTGGGTTCTCTTATCCCCTAGTCTCACTTAGAACAGAAGTCCCATGAAGCCAGAGGGCTCTGTCTAGCATACCACCTGGTGTCTAATGCCTGGCACATAAATAGTGAGATCATAGCAGTTATGGGAGTGAATAAATGAGACCATGAATAGGTGTTGGAACTGCAAGGGTGAGGTTTGTACCAACTAACTTCAGTCCTTTGCAAGAAAGACAGATCAAGAACAGACCAGTTACCTAAAGAATAGTCTGCTAGGGGTCAAGCTTTGGCTGGATCTCTCATCACCTATAATTTTTGTCCCTGGGTGGTGGGGGCTGTATGACATTTTTAATTGGAGGGTTGGGAGGAAGGGGAAATTAAGGTAAAATTGTTCTTCCATAGTCAGAAAGGACTGGCACTTTACCCAGCCAGGGACTGACAGATAGGAGACTCAGGGTGACACTTGTGTGCCCTCTGCTGTCTCTGACTTGACTAGCCCTGTGGCACAGCTGGGTTGCCTGACGTCAGCTCTCCACACTGAGATAGGTGAAGGTAAGTAGTGACAAAATGGGACTGGGTGGGCTATTGTCTGGCTGAGGCTGGAGCCAGGAGTGGGCTCTGAGCCCACTGCTCCCACCCAGTGTGGCAGCACTGTGGCTTGTCCACTGCTGGGGGCGGGGTGGTCTAAGGACTGCACTCACCCAGCTGGGCCTTGGCTGCTAAGGATGCTTCACCCCTTTCCTCATCCTAAGTCTGAAGTCATGGCTTTGGATTGTTTCAATGCCTAAGATTGGCAGCAACAAGTTAAAAGTCTAGTGGTCTGACAAGGTGGCGTGAATAGTCGAGGTGCTTGCACATGGGTGTGATGACTTTAGTTTGATCCCTGTACCCTGCAAGGTGGCAAGGACTGACTCTGGAGAGTTGTCCTCTGACCTTGCATGTTCCTTCTCTCTCTCTCTCTCTCTCTCTCTCTCTCTCTCTCTCTCTCTCTCTCTCTCTATCTCTCTCTCTCTCACACACACACACACACACACACACACACACACACACACAAGAATATTTTTTTAAAGAATGGCTTTTTCTGGTTTTTTTTTTGTTGTTGTTGTTTGTTGTGAAGGGTTTCTTCATGTAATTCTGGCTGTCCTGGAACTTTTTAGACCAGGCTGGCCTCAAACTCACAGAGATCCATCTGCCTCTGCCTCCTGAATGCTAGGACTAAAGGTGTGTGCCACCACCACCTGGCAAGAATGACTTTTTAAAAAAAATAAACGTAGATCTGGTGTCCTCATCTTAGTTAACATTTGTGTCATCAAGACAGACAAGAAGCCCTAGTCCTGTATATCTCACTGCATCATCTTGGGTGCTGTTGTTGACACACTGCATCTTAATGTCACAGTGAATCTCCTAGTGGCCTCCTGGGTGTTAATTTTGTGGGCACTTCATCTGGTGGAGTGGGACCCTCTGAGGTGAGGCCACAGCCTATTTCTCCCAAGCCCATTCTGTGTCTATGGAAATTGTGCCCACTGGGTTCAGATGGGAGCTTCAGGGGAGTGGATTGGGACACAAATGCCCTGGGGCAGATTCTGGGCAGTCTGGCACTCATGCTGATCTGTCTCCTGTAGGCATGAAGACCAAGCATGCACTGCGCCACCACATGAAGCTGCACAAGGGCATCAAGGAGTATGAGTGCAAAGAATGCCACCGCAAGTTTGCTCAGAAGGTCAACATGCTCAAGCACTACAAGCGGCACACAGGTGTGTCCTGTCTCAGTTCTGCCTGGTCTCCAAACCGATGGCCCTAGAGTGAGTGCTGAAGGTCTGTGCAGGCACCTTTTCATGCATTTGCCAATGTCTTTGACTGGATGCCTGGAAATCATAGCCACTTACTGGGGCACTCCATGTCTGCAAAGGATCACAAACCCATCCCACTACCAGTGTGAGATCTTTTTTTTCCACATCTCTTAAGTGGTTTGTTGTTGCTGTTTTGGTTTGGTTTGGTTTTAGTTTTCAAGACAGGGTTTCACTCTATAGCCCTGGCTGTCCTTGAACTCACAGAGATCCACCTCCCTCCTGAGTGCTAGGATTAAAAGCATGAGCCACCACTGCCCAGCATTTTCTTCTTTTTTTTTTTTTTAACTTTTAATAATAGCTATTATAACTAGGGTGAGATGGCTCCTCATTAGAGTGTTGGTTTTCAGTTCATTGGTGGCTGATGGTAGTGAGCATTTTTCATATATTTGTGTCTATTCTGATCATTTCTGGTTTTTAGCTTGCAGTGCTTATTTCTAAAGTTTTGGCTCATTATACATTGTTCATATTAACCTTCTGTCAGATGACTGGCTGACGAGTGTCTTCTCTCATTCTGTCTGTTGTCTCTTTGCTCTGCCAGCTGTTTCCTTTGCTCTGGAGAAGTCTCATGGTTTGATGTGTAGTTTTGTTTTTGTTTCCTGGGCTTCAAGGCTCATCTCACATAGTCATCGCTCTACCAATATCTTGAGGTGTTTCTCCTAAGTTTTCTTTTAGTACCAAAGATATTTAATCTTTGACCCATTCTAAGTTGTTTTTTGTAGAGATAGGGTCAAGTTTGAAGCTTCTGAATGTAGACATCCAGTTTTCCTGACACCTTTGTTGAGATTCAGTTGACTGTACATGCATGACTTTATTTTAGGATCTGTTCCGTGGATGTGTGTGTTTGTTTCTAATGCTAGCACCATTGTGGTTTTGTACCTGTGATTCTGGTAGTGTCTTGAAACCAGGCACTAGTACCTGCAGCTCTGTGCATTTTGTTCCAGGTCACTTCTGCCAGGCTTCCCCACAAACTTCAGGATTGCTTTTCTGGTTTTGTGAAGAAGTCATTGGTGTATTGCACTGAATCTGTAAATCACTTTGTGTCAACATTTTAACAGTATTCATTCTTACAGTCCGTGAATAAGGAACATCTTTCCAGTATTTGGTGTCATCAGTGGCTTTAAAATATACTTTAAGCTAGTCAGTGGTGGCACACGCCTTTATTCCCAGCACTTGGGAGTCAGAGCAGGTGGATCTCTGTGAGTTTGAGGACAGCCTGGTCTATAGACTGAGTTCCAGGACAACCAGGGCTACACAGAGAAACTCTGTCTCAAAAAACCAAAAAACAAAATATACTTTAATGAAAAAACTTCCTTTTAAATAAAAATGACTTGTATTTTGTAATCGAAGCTGTGGTGGCATCAGGCTTTGCAACATGATCCACAGGCTTCAGCAGCCAGTACTCTAACACTCCAGGGCTCCTGAGGCACGTGAGGGACATCTTCTGTCTGTTGGAAATCCCTGTGGCAGCCCCAGGGACTAGACTCTTTCTCAGGTGTTTGACCACTTTCAATTTAGTATTACCTAAAGGGATGTTCTTGTGAACTTGAGGGATGTGCTCTTTTCACTAGTCCCAGCATCTTGATTGTATCTTTTCCCCAATATGGACACCTTTTTTATACTAATTATTCTGGTAACCGTGTGTAGCTTATTTGGGTGCCAGGAGTCCCCACCATATTTTTTGGATCTTTGGGTCTAGGCTTGAAAGACTTGATTCATAAGTCTTAATTTGGTAAATTTATGATGAATCCAGTGTGTGCCAATGAGAGATTGCACATGTTTTGTCATGATCTGTTGTGTATCTGAAGATCTGAACTACTGAGCACAGAATCCCTGTCCTGAATATGGAAATTCTTCTCTTCAGAAGCATCTGCTAAAAGTCCAACCTGAACTTCCCTACTGACTCTCAGGATTTTTTTTTTAACTGTATAAAATGACAGGCTGCATAACATTTTCCTGCATGTAGATAATGTATGTTTTCATGTTTTCTTCCCCAGCAGATAAATATTGTTGGTGTGTGTGTGTGTGTGTGTGTGTGTGTGTGTGTGTGTGTGTGTGTACATATCTTTGTCGTCCCCCCCCAGAGGCTGACCTTGAACTCATTGTGTAACTAAGGATGACCTGGAACTTCTGAATCCTCCTGTCTCTGCGATCTGAGTGCTGGATTACAGGTGTGCACTACCACACCTGGTTTATGTAGTACACAGGGTCAGACCCAAGGCTTTGTGCATGCCAGGTGAGCACTCTGCTCACTGAGCCATATCCTCAGCCTTCAGGTCTTTGTATGTGCAGTTGTGTGTGTGTGTGTGTGTGTGTGTGTGTGTGTGTGTGTGTGTGTGTGTGTGTGTGTGTGTTATGTAATTCTAATTCAGAAGATCTTAGTGGAGTCTTCAGGCTTTACCACATGGAAACATGCTGTGTACAAATAGGGATGATTCAACTTCCACTCTTCCTGCATGCTTGTTTTTGTTCCTCTCTTGCCTAATGGCCATGCTAAAACTTAAGGTGCTATCTTGACTACAAGTGTGGGAATCAACACCTTGTCTCCTTTCAGATTATAGTGGAGCCTGCTTCAGTGTCTCCCTTTTGGTACAGTGCTGGCTCTGCATTTGCCATGCATAACCTCATGCTGAGGTATGATTCTTCTGCACTTGGTTTGTTAACATTTTATTTTGAAAGGACATTTGATTTTATCAGATATTTTTTCTCCATCTATTTGAGATGATCATGAGATTCTGTGCTGATATTTTGACCCTTCATTCTGTTGATGTGTCATATCGCATTTGCCAATTTACTTAGATTGAACCATCCTTGCATCCTGGGATGGATTCTGCTTGATCTTGCTCATCCTGTGGATGTGCTGGTAGATAGTGAAAAAAATCCCTGGCACTTTGTGTGACCACAGCAGCTCTGCTGTCTCTCAGGGAGATATTCCCATTCTTGTCTTGGGTCCTGACTTTCTCTTGCTGTTTAATCTCTTAATGCATGTCTCAGAAGCTACCCAAGGCCTTTTAAAGCTAAGTAGGGGTATAGGTGAATTATCCTGCTCAGAGAAACTGTTGCTGTCTCTACCCCTGGACTCTCTTCTCTACATCTGTGTTCTTGGACCTTCCCAAATCTCTTCATTTTTAAAAATATGAAGTGTCATATAAAGGGCTAAATTTTTGAGGCCACAGTTTTCTGGGTAAATTTGGGAATAAATGCTGTTTTTGTTTTTTGGTTGTTTTTGTTGTTGTTGTTGTTGTTTTCTGACAATTTACCATTCCTCTGAGGTGCTACAAATCCTGGAGCATGAGACATCCTCTGTGTATACTTAAATTGAAAACTCACCAAGTATGTGATATCCAACATGACTTTTCCTGCAGGAATAAAAGACTTCATGTGCGAATTGTGTGGGAAGACATTCAGCGAGAGGAACACAATGGAGACCCACAAGCTCATCCACACAGGTAACTGAGTCCCAAGGATGGTTCAGCTGTCCGAATATGCAGGAATGGGAGCACCTGCTCTGTTTCACAAACACTTGCAGAATAGGACTCTCTTGGTTTGATGCAGCCCCTTGACCTCTAAACCCCACTGTGCCTTTCCAGCGTCTGTTCTTCAAGGACAAAGGTCAGTTGTTCCTGCTAGTCTTGAGCACTGGTGTCTGACTGGTCTGACCAGGTGATGGCTGTCTAGAGGAGCAGAGGGTATGGCAGGTGTTTGACTTGAGAGGTGACTGACATTGACGGCTCTCTGTTGACTTGCATTTCTCTTTTCTACCCCACTTGTGTGTGAGAAGTGGGCAAGCAGTGGACTTGTTCCGTGTGTGACAAGAAGTACGTCACGGAGTACATGCTGCAGAAACATGTCCAGCTCACCCATGACAAGGTGGAAGCACAGAGCTGCCAGCTGTGTGGCACCAAGGTGTCCACCCGGGCCTCCATGAGCAGACACATGCGGCGCAAGCACCCTGAGGTTAGCCTGGTGGGGGCTCATTCACATCTACCCATAGCATAGCCTGGCCCCATTGTGGGCTTGGGGTGCCTGCACTGCTCTGAGACCCCTTTGTCCTCATGCAATGTGAGTTTAAGATCGAGCCCTGGTCTTATGTCTGAACTGTATCATCTTTTTTTTTTCTTCCTGAGACAAGATCATGTGTAGCCCAGACTGGCCTAGAACTCACTATGTATCTGAGGATGACTTTGAACTTCTCTGAGTGCTGGGATTGCAGGCATGTACCACCACACCCAGTTTTATGTGGTGCTGATCCTTGAACCCAGGGCTTCATGCATGCTAGGCAAGCACTCAGTCATCTGAGCCCTAGCCCAACCACCTTCTTCTCACAACAAAACTAGATAAATAATTAAAGTTACTAGACCCCTAAGAAGAAGAGAGACTTTCTGAGCATGAGGGTGACAAAAGAAGTTGTACCCAAAGTATTGCTAGATCTGAGCAGGGAAACTCTTGGGATTTCTGTAGGTTTAAAAAAATAAAAAGGCAAATATAAACGAACACGTTTATGAGCTTTATCCCCTTTAACAGATGCAGACTTAGCATCAGCTGTGACAACCACTCAGTGAGAAAACCCAGTGTCTAGGGAAAGAGAATTCATGATGGAAGAAATGCATATAGGTTTAAGAAACACCAGGAAGACTTCTGCTTTCCTGTGGGTCCCTGAGTGTTGATTCGATCAGGAGACACAGTCCTCAGAGGCCCATTAGTGTTCTCTTGGCTCAAGCATGGTTCAGAAAAGGGCCCAGAATGGGCTTTTGTCTAGAGGTTCAAAGATGGAGCTCCCTGCCATCCTCATGAATAGTGTACGTTTTTCCACTTTGCTTTCTTCCGCTGAGCAACAGATTTAAGGAATGTTGGGGTAAGGTCAGATGTAGAGCCTTCCCCAGGCTTACAGCTTCTCTACAGCAGGTGTCTTTGGCAGATCACCTTTCTTACACCTTTCCAGTGCATCCATTTTCCTCCCTGTCTGTGTCTGCTGCCTTCCGTAGGACTTAGTCACAGTTACGAGATGCGCAATGAGTGTAAGCAACTGACTAGTGTTGCTTGCCATGGATAGGACACTGGGGCTGGTGGGAGGCCGTGTGGGCTCATAGGGCAGGTCATGGAGGGAGTGCTGCATGCTAAGGACCCTTGTGAGTGGGCCTGATAAAGGAAAGACATGACTAGGCTTGCTTTGTCACAAAGCTGACATGCACATAGCTGCATGCATTAGGCTAACAGGCACAGTGTTTGGCCCACAAAAACCTCCATTGGTGGTTCCTTATCGAACAGTTACTGCTCTGTGTCTTAGCTTCCTCAGCTCCCTGTGATGACAGAGGGGGCACTGATACCTCACTAGAGCACATGTCATGGAGGCCACAGAAGCAGGAAGTAGCCTCCATCTAAGGACAGGAGCCACAAGTTAGCAGACAGGTACCAGATGTCCTCACCAGGCCAGAGAGCACTGTAGAGGTTTGAGATGGGGGTCAGAGACCAGGGTTGGGGGATACCCTAGAGAACATTCTAGAAGTAGTTTCAAAGTCAGAACGGAGGCTAGGAGTCAGAGCAGAGGTGAGTTTGTAAGTTAGCTGCTAGTCCCCTGCAGCAGTGGCCCTTGCACAGTGAGTTTGGATTCCTAGAGCATAATCAGGGCAGCCATTGGGTGGACACAGCGACCCTACTCACAGCCCTCTGCCCCTTTCAGGTCCTTGCTGTGCGGATTGATGATCTTGACCACATCCCTGAGACCACCACCATTGATGCCTCCTCCATTGGCATTGTCCAGGTAAGCAGCACAGAGCACACCTGCAGGGCTGGAGTGTGAGGGGAGCAGACCTCACATACCAAGTGAACCCTGAGGGAACAGACCGTACATAGGAGCAGGCTGCAGTCATACCATTGACCATGCTTTACACATCAGCATAGTCTCACTGAGATTTGTTAGGCCTTCCTCCTGGAGCTTTCTAGACTATATCTTAGTTTTGTTGTAGTATCTATGAATTCAAATATTCAGATGTTGGTGTATATGTCTCAAGAAAATAGGTAGTTTGGGGGACTGGAGAGGTGGCTCAGTGGTTAGGAACATTTGTTGCTCTTTCAAAGGACTGGGTTCAGTTCTCAGCAACCATATGGTGACTCACAGTTATCTGAAACCCTAGTTCTCGGGAATCCAATACCCTCTTCTGACATTTGTGGGCACCAGGCACATACACGATGCACATACTTGTTGCACATACATAGATGCAAGTGACACTCATATACATAAAACAAATGTAAAAAAGATTCTTAAATGATCATTCCTAGAAAATTTTCTTATCATTAAATTATCTTAAGCAAAATTAAACTTAACTATGTTAGGCAAACCTAGAATTTTTTTTTTTCTTTTTAGACAGGGCCTCACTATGTATACCTGGCTAGCCTGGAACTCTATGTAGTCCACACTGGCCTTGAACTCACAGAGCTCCACCTGCCTCTGCCTCCCCAGTACTAGAATTATAAGTGTGTACCACCACACCAGGCCAAACCTAGCTTTTAAAGGAACTTTTACTCAATACTTTTTTTTGAGACATGATCTCATGTAGTCCAGGTTGATCTTGAGCCTGCCATGTTGCCAAGGCTAGCCTTGAACTTCTGATCCTCCTGCCTCTACCTCTCAAATGCTAAAATCCCAGGTATGCACCATCATACCTGGATATACTCATTATTTTTATGACACTTTTATTTTTAATCACAAAGAGAATATGTTATGCTGTAAATGTTTAAGACATCTGTACCTGAGTGCTTTGGCTTATGCTGATGAGTGTCCCATGAAAACAGGTGACCATGTCTTATGGAATGAACGGATAGAATCCACATCTAGCCCTTCTGTGAGCTGTTTATGTGCCTGACAATTCATAGGTGAGGGCAGGAAAGAAAGACTCTCCATCTCCATACTCTGACCAGCTCCTGGTAGGTTTGTCTGCACCCAGAACCACACAGGGGCACTGAGAGTACCACTGGCAGGACAGAGAGCCCTACAGCCACCGTGCCCTGACCTCCAGCTGTCTGGGCCGCAGCCCATCTTGCTGACACTCTCAGAGCTGTGTAAGGGAAAGGATAAGCCTGAACAGAGAGGGACAGAAAATGCCTGCATAGTTTAATCAAGCGTTTACATCCAGTGTTGTTCCTGCTGTGGATAGTGGCTACCAGCGCTTTCCCTGAGGGAAATATTTCTCATTTAACAATGTTTCTATTTGAACACAAAGTAGCTATTTCCTGTGACAGCTTGATGCCCTGTGGGTGTGTCTAGGCAGTGAATGATACCCTGGCCCCCATCCAGATGTGACCCGCTGCCCTGTGGTTACTGACACCCATCTCCTCACAGCCTGCATTGGGCCTGGAGCAGGAGGGGCTGGCAGAAGGCAAGCATGGGAAGGCTGCCAAGCGCAGCCACAAGAGAAAGCAGAAGCCGGAGGAGGAGGCAGGGGCTCCAGTGCCCGAGGACACCACCTTCAACGAGTACCCTGAAAAGGAACCAGAGTTCACAGGCAGTGTGGGTGATGAGACAAATTCTGCTGTGCAGAGTATCCAACAGGTTGGTTGGTGCCTTTGTTTATATCAGAGGACAGCCACCTCTGCAGGGGCAGCTCCTCTGGACTTGAGTCCTGTCATTCATCCATGTGGGTGTCCACAGTGGTTCCAACTCTCACCCTCGCTTTCCATGTAGGCATTGTCTCACGCAAGCTGTGCCAACTGTGACCTCCAGATTACGCATGCCATTGTTAATAACAGTGTGACACTTTAGCAGTGAGAGACTGAGACATGGTTCCCAATTGGGTGCCCCAAGGGGCCTGCTAAGGAACAGGACATGGACAAGCACCAGCCACTGAGCTGACTTCTCTGTGTGGTCTCTGATTTGCTTATCTTATATCACTTTGCCGTTTGAGACCTCACTTGTTCCATGTGTGTTTCATTTTTGGAGATGATGATTCTGCAGTAAACCTGCTTGCATCCATCTTGCCTTTCAGCACTAGGTTTGAAAAAGCTGCAGCTGTGGCTACCTCCATAGCTACACAGGGTTTTCACAGGTCACAAGACAGGCAGGTCAGAGGGTGGATGAAGATAAAGGGTTGGCTTCCTGGCTTTTCAGGCTTGCTTTACTTGTGTGTGTTGTGATCTGTCTGTCTCTCCTGCTGCACCTGGCTTTACATTGGCTTTACATTGATACTGGGAATAGCATTCAGGTCCTCATGAATCAGTGGCGAGCACTTCCCCAGCTCTGGGCATACTTCACTCTTTTTCTGGCCAGTGACGTTCATTTGATTTTTCCATCTCAGCATTGCCTCTGAGAACGTCCGTATTTCCTTTGTCTTTACCGCTAGTATAATTCTCCTAGGACACTGTGTTCTGCTTTCCCCAGTGGAGGCCTGGCTCTCCCTCCTTTGCCTGAGCATGCAGTTCCAGCACAGACTGTGGCCTCCAGTAGGAGGGTGCTGTGGGAGGTTCTGCCTTTCTCCTTTTTGCAGAAATAATTCATTGTCTCTTTTCTCCATGTGACTCTTGCAGGTGGTGGTGACCCTAGGGGACCCGAGTGTGACTACTCCATCAAGCTCTGTCGGCCTGACCAACATCACCGTGACCCCCATCACCACTGCAGCTGGGACTCAGTTTACCAATCTACAGCCAGTAGCTGTTGGACACCTTACCAACCCTGAACGCCAGCTACAGCTGGATAACTCCATCCTGACTGTGACCTTTGACACTGTCAGCGGCTCCGCCATGTTGCATAACCGCCAAAATGATGTCCAGATCCACCCACAGCCAGAAGCCTCAAACCCTCAGTCAGTGGCCCACTTCATCAACCTCACTACGCTGGTGAACTCCATCACACCCCTGGGGAACCAGCTCAGTGAGCAGCACCCACTCACATGGCGGGCTGTGCCCCAGACGGACGTGTTGCAGCCACCACAAGCTCCTGCAGCCCCACAGCAGGCAGTGCAAACCCAGGTACAGAATGAACAGCAACAGATGTACAGCTACTGATAATGCGGCTGCAGAGCTGGCTGAGCTACAGGGAGGGCTCTGAGGCCTTGAGGTTTATTTGCTGGGTACCAAACAGGAAGAGTATACACATGGCAGGATCACTGAGGTTGGGTTAGCGTTGCAAAGTTACCAGCTTAGCTGGTGCCATGGCCTTTGACAGACAGGAGCTTAAAGCACTCCGTGGAGTTCCACCATGTGCTTCCCCAAGGTGGTGCAGTCTGGCCAGACCACAGTGTCACCCTCAGAGGTCTGTAATTGTCATGGGGCTCAGGGACACAGATAGCAGGTTCCTAGAAGCAGGTGTGATATCCCAAGAACTAGGGAGATTTGATCTGTTTTCTTTAGCACTCCAGTAATGATACTGAAACATGGCTAGCCTTCTCAGGCAGCACACAGAAGAAAACCCAGGTTTCTCCTTGCTCCTGGATTCACAAGCAGGGAGAAAGAAGTCAAGTAACTCTTCCTCTGAAGTCTCAGTTTGTTTGTCACAGGGCTGTGGCCTGAGGCCTCGTATGAGAAGTATCATGAACCTCATGGGAGGCCCCTAGATCAGGCACAAAAGGCATCTTGGGAACATCCATAGATTGATTTTATGAACAGTTTGTTCATTTTATTTCATAACCACGTTATGTATTATGGCCCTCTTGTGGCCAATATTGATTTATTTTAATATGATAAAGTCGTTTGCACTGTAGGGTGTTGGTCCCTGTCTTGTGCACAGGTGCCTTGCATGAGGGCACACACAGTTGTGTGCAAAGTAAGCCCTCATGCTCGAATCCCAATGCTCCTCCAGAGCCATCTCAGGACTCTGCCATCCAAACATATGTATTACGGTGCAGCTTAGCCACACCCCTGAGTGGAGAATGGGGAGTGAACCCATGTTTTCTTTCTGTGTAAGCCTTAATTCCAAAAGGTGGTTGTGTCTGAAGACCAATTTCCTACGAAGTGGAGGAGTTCAGCTCTACAGGAGAGAAGTATAGCTAGTGATTTAAGGAAACCCAGAGAGGTGTGGGTGGGGGTGAGAGCAGAAGTGGTCACCATGACAGTGCAGGCAAGCTGGCCACACCCAGCTGGGGGGACTTGGCAGCACATACTTGTACCATCCCAGTGGCAACAGGCCAGACTGCCATCATGGTGTCCACAGTCCCAGCACAGGGACACAAAGAGGCAAGGTGACAGGAGAGTCTTGCTCTGTGGTCTTGCTCTTCTCATCAGTTTTTAATGTCATACAAAAGAAGAAGAACTTGAAGATGAACTTGCCTTACTTTGTCCTTGGTCCCGTATTTCCTGGATGTAGCCAGATGTGGGCAGCCAACCTGCAGAGACCCTGGCAGCTAACCAGCAGTGGGCAAAGGAAGCTGCAGTCAGCCTGGTGTCAGACAAGGTGGCACTTTCTCAGCACCTCATTCCAGAGAACAAGCTTTGAGGATGGCGCTGGAGCTTGTGTTACACAGTTGGAGTCTAAGGAAGAGATGGCACTCAGATGGGTCCTGCTGGTCTGTGGGTTACCTGGTCCACACACTCTCTACATCCACACAGGCCAGTCTCACCTCTCAGTTGTTGGTGTGGTGGGAGGGTCTTGGGCTTCTTAATTTATGACAGTTATTTTATGTTATTTATGTGTATAATTAACTGCTTTGTACACAGTACCCTTATCAAATGAACTTGGGCTAAAGGTGAACTGTTTTCTAAAATATTGCCTTCATTCTCCAAATAAATTAACTAGTCCAGGAAACCGTGGAAGCAGTGGGCAATCCATAGTTCCTATACTATTTTTTTAAAAATTCAATCACAATTCCTTTTTGCCTTTGCAGCCTCTCAAACATGAACGAGCTGAGCCCAAATGACTGTTGAGCTCAATCAGACATTTACTAGCATTTGACTTTTATTCTCTTCCCTATGAAATAAAAGCTTTTGAAATCACATTTTTATTTTTTAAAGATGTATTTTTGTGCCTCCAGCCAGGCTGTCAAATCCTGTTGAAAGACATAGCTTAGGCGGTGTAGTCTCTCCTGCTGCCACTGTTTGCTTAAATACACAGAGGCATCTACTTCCTGCTGTTATAAACAGGAACTCAGATAAAACCAGCCTTTCTTCTCAAGTGTCTGTGACACATGGTCTTACCAGAGTCATTGATGGAGGCAAGCAGGTCGTCTTTGCATGGCTGCAGCTACTCTACATATAGAAACTGGATAGTAAATCAAAGACGTCTCCACACTCCGGCTGCCCTACATACATAAAACATTGTTCATTGGTGGGAAGTGTTCTCTTTTTTTGTTTTTAAACAGTCTAAGGTGGGCAGATGCATAGCTGTGTGTCCAGCATGCCCTGTGACTGTCTTGGTTCACATAAATAAATGTATAATGGGAATTTGTTTACACCTTATGAATGGTAATGCTATAGGGTCACATGTCATGACAGGATGAATCTCACAGTTGGAGCACAGGGCTCCACCCTCTAGGATGATGTTAGCAAGTGAAATGTTCTCAGGAAAAGAGTCTGTGCCATGAAAGCTCTGTGTCTGGCATGGAAGCCCTCTGGAGAATGCCCCATCATGGAAGGCAGATTTCCTCCTTCACACCGGTCTCATTTGGTATACAAAGGCAGAGGCAGTACCTGTGACCTCCATAGGTTTTGAGGGTTGTGAAGAACGTTCTGCAACTCTGAGGGTATCTCATGTCACATCTGTTTGTATGACAGTGAATAAAGGTGCTGTGACTTGTGTTTTTCAATTGCTGGCCCTCTGCTCTCCTGCCCATGATGAAGCTGTGCCTGGTAACCTTTGAGAATGGCTCTAACTCCTATTGTAGGCGATGTTCTCATTTCCCTGCAGGCCTGATGTGTACGTTTGGACCATTTGAAACACCCTGAGATAGTGAGTGTCGGAAACTTCCCCAAGAGCTACAGATGGCAACAGAGAAAGTGCATGTGGGCTTCTTTGTAAAGCTGAGGTCAGAGAATAGGCAGCAGGTAGTACTTGGCAAAGCTTTTCTGTGGGCTTATGGTCTCAGATGGTCTCTTACTGATACTGATCAAGTATTAGATGGTGTGTTCTAATTTGTCCCTGTGTGTTTTATGTTTGTTTTGAGACAAGGTCTCATGTAGCCCAGGCTGGCTTTAAACTCTGAACCTCCAGTCTCCCTGTTGGTGCCTCCCAAGTACTATAATTACAGGCATGCACCATGTCCAGCTAGGAGTTCTTTTAAAGTGATGAAACACCTTTGTTATCAGTCCTCTAAGGAGCTGAACCACCAGGACTACATTTCATATATCTTAATATTGGATAGCAGCTAGCTCTCCTGCTGGTAAGACTTATTTAACCTTAATAGGAGCACTTCCTTCTGGGTCCAAACCTGTATATCCCTCTACACTCAGAGCAGACTTTGGATGTACCAGTGGGAGAGATGGGGCAGCCCTTACTCCCACTGGCACCATAAGGTACCACATAGTGCTCTGCTATCAGACACATGATCAGAAGACACCTGACAGAACTTAAAGGAGGGCTTACCTGGGCTCCCAGTTTCAGATGACACAGTCCCTCTGGCAGAGAAAGTTGGGTGGTTGGAGCAGCTCCATCTGTAGTGTCAAGAACTTATGACAGTATTTCCCATGAGTGTGTGGAAGACTGCATATTTGAACCATAACATTTGTGTCCCTGGTCCCCATAAACTCTTGGCTACCTCATAAATGCAACTACATTCAACTATAAGAGTCTCGGATCTTCACAACTTCACTGTTACAAAGTGGCTACTGAGATTCAGGGCAACCTCTTAGATATGAGAGAATAAAGGTACGGTGTAACAAGTCTTTCTCTGTCCTGCCAGCCAGCCCCAAAATAATGACACGGAGATCCATTATTAATTATAAAAGCTTGGCCTTAGCTTAGGCTTGTTTTTGACTAGCTCTTATAACTTAAATTAATCTACATTTTGTCATGTACAGCCCATCCTGCTTCTTCCATGTCTCCTGGCATCTCTCTCACATGCCTAGATTCCTCCTCCTCCTTTCTCTGCCTGGAGGTCTCCCCTATACCTGCTGCCTGGTTATTGGCCTTTCAGCTTTTTATTATAACAGTCTCAGCAATACACCTTCACACAGTGTACAGATATCCCGCAATAGCACAGAGTAACCTGGGAGGATAGCAGGGACATACCAAACCCAGCAGGGTAAACGTTAGACTCTGTACCCCCGCATCTAGCATCTGGGGCTTAAGTGGATATCATCTCTGTGCCAGTGGCTAAAGCAGCTCCCACTTTCCACTCTGCAGCACCAGCTTCGCCCAGTCAGTACCTGTGGGTCTTCTGGGAAGATGTCTTGTTTTCTTGGAATCTCCAACATCCAGGGCTCTCCATTGGAACTGAGGCTTCACCTTCACAGATTTCTAGCTTGGGAACTCCATGAAGGAAACACAGTCCTGCTATACATTGCCTGGCTCCCAGGCTGTCCTCTGGAACTTTGGTGTAAACTGGAGTTTTGCACCAGTTTAAAACCAGCAGCACATGAATGATGCTAAGTTCTGCTCTCAGTTCAAGGTGTATCCCCTTGGACTGTGGCTGCAGAAGCCTCCAAGTGCTATGTGGCCAGACCTTAGCTGTTGGGGAAAACACTTAAAATACCAATCTTTACATGCATAAGCCAAGTTATTATCTATTAATTCTCTCTCCATATACAGTAAAAACAAGATCCCAAAGAAAGAACCACTGGGCCATTGGCTTCTCTCACCTGTTTCTGTATGATGTGAATGCATCAGTATCAAAGGCACCCGAGATCTAGAGTGACAGGTTAAAATGAACGCACTGGTCTGGCTGGAGCCAGCCTTCCACCCAAGCCTTGCATCCCATTCTTCTCTCAGGGACTGACTCTCCTGAGACTTAAGGTATCTGGGTACAGGCTGCTAGCATTCCCAGAACCCTGGAAACATGGGAGTTCCCAGCAGCTTGCTTCTTCCTGACATGCTTGCTCCTTACTTGCACAAACACATGGGTGAGGGTACCCTTTGCCACAGCATGGACCCACCTGTGTCTCCAGAGGCTTCTTGAGGAAAAGGGAGGCTGGAAACCCAAGAACTGCTTCCTGCTGAGCGTAGCTTATTTCTCATAGATGGGATTCAGGTCCGTCCCAACACTGGCTGTTGTTCACTTATATGAAGCCTGGAGCTTAACTCCCAGATAAGCTCTTCTCTTCCAGAAGGAAGTGGAGCTGCTGGCCAGGCTAGGAGCTATCTTCTAGAATATACCATGGGTAGAACATTGTGATGTAGATTCACCAGGGATATTGCAGTCACAGGAAGTCTGGAATCTGTGTTTTGCTGTTTTTTGTTGGATTAAACACTAATCCATTTCCACCCAGTGTCTCAAAGCATGATCAAGATGACTTAATCTAACTCATGGTCACAGTCTTCCCACACAGACCTAGCCCTCTCCACTGTCCTCACACTCAGACAGCAGTGGTGGCCCATTGTTCATTCAATGTACAGCTTAGCTCCTAGCATCATCTCAGACCAAGACCTACTTCCTACATGACATCTTGAGCAGTTTTGAAAATGGCCAGATATACCCATCCTTCCATGTTCCTCTAGTTTGCATCTTTAGCTCTCACCTCCAGAAAGCCATCAAGTTCCTCCTCCTTCCCCAGACACTTATCACTGTGCTGTCAGTGGCACTCAAAAAGATTGTGTTCCACTGTAGCACCTACAACCAAGCCCAGCACCCTCTGTGGGCCCTTGAGTGCCGTGTGAATGCCACCAGATCCCCCCAGACCCAAGATTGTGAAAAAAGGCTCTGGATATGTTCAGTGTGTGTCTGGTGACATTCTGGATGCCAGGTGACCTCTGAATGTCACCAGTGCCTCTTCATGGCCCAGGGTGCTCAGGACCTGCCTGCTTTCCTCCCACTGGTGGCCTCATGCTGTTTTAGTTGTGAACCCACTGTCCACACTGAGCTCTGGTCCTTGCCCCTCTCCTCAGTTAATGCCTATGTGCCTCTCAGATCCTGGCTCAAATACCTCTCACAGGAATCTTCTAGAAGCTCTCATTTCCCACTCAGACAATGGCCTGTCTTTTCTTCACAGCACTTGAGACTGGCAGGCAGTGAGTACTTCCTAGCTAATCTGTTCATGTGCTTTATCCTGCCCTTCCATAAGCTTCAAAAAGAGAGAAGGACTCTATTTCCTTACTTTCTCAATATTCCCCTAAGCCTACCTAGCCCAATGTTTTTTGTTTTGGGGGGGTTTGAGGTTTTGTTGTTGTTGTTTTGTCTTGTTTTGTTTTTTGTTTTGAGACTGGGTTTCTCTGTATGTAGACCAGGCTGGCCTCAAAAACTCAGATTCACCTGCCTCTGCCTCCTGAGTGCTAGGATTAAAGGCATGCACCACCATGCCCAGCATTTTTTTTTTGTAAGATTTATTTTTATTTTAT